CAGCCCACCTCAAATAAACCACCCAGACTGGATGGGGGTAATGGAGAAGATACAACATGTGCTGAGGGAGTATACTTCTCCAGCTGGTGGGTAACCCTCTCCCTGCCTCAAAGAGGGAGAGTCTGATGATGCAGCACTGGAGCCCATGGATATTACAACTGTCCAGGTTCCAGCTGAACCACATGGGCAGTCACAGCCAGCAGCAGTCGCCCCTGTGCAGAGGGGGAAGTATAAGACATCATTAACAGTGTGCCCAGCTAATAATTATGAGGAACCAGGGCCCTCACAACCAGCAAGGAAGCCAGAAGTTGAAATCATCAACTGAGTCCCTGTCATACCACAGTCTCTGTAATCTGCAAAAAAACATTGTATAGCAAGGCTGTGAGGCTTACTCAAACTCGTTACTCTGAGTTTGGGTCCTTACGGGTCCAGGAGTGCAACTGGATGGTGGCAAAGCAAGGAATTTGGGATCCTTGACCCAGGACATGGGTATTGATCAGGTGTTTGTGAGGGAGCCATGGCCCCTTTACCTCCCTCTGTGAGCGGCTTTTAACGAGTGTAAGAAAGAGGTTTGTTCACAGAGACAGAATGCAGGATTGCCATCCTAAGACCATTGGAAGACCATTGAGGAAAAGATCCAGCATCTGAGAGAAGTGGCAGTACTAGAGGAACTCTTTGGAAGGGGCCAACAGCACCATAATGACTCCAACAAGGTTAGGTGCACAGGGCGAATGTTGTGGAACGTGGCAAATCTGGGGCCATCTCAATACACCATCTTCACTGCAATGATGAATGCTGAAGACAAGTGAAAGACAGTAGGTTCTGTAGCCAACAGGCTCAGGTATTTTGAGAGTATGGTCAATGCCTGATGCACACTCATGTCTCTGCTTTGGTTAAGGACCAAAGAGGAGTTGTAAGAGGAAATTAGGAAGGTGAGAGAGGAGGTGAGAAAGAACAGCTCCCATGTGGCGCCAGTGCAAGTCACAGGCCCTAACGTCAAAGTCTAATGTCCCCCAGCTAGAGAGAGGGGGTACACCCAATGAGCTGAGCTGTGGTTCTTCCTTGGTGAACATGGGGAAGACATGAGAAGGTGGGATGGCAAACCCACTTATGTCCTGGCAGCAGGGATGTCAGCTCAAAGAGGCAAACACTAACCGAGGGAGTTCTGCTAAAGTGAAGTTGGCCTCACCCTCCCATGACTGAGCTGCTGGGTGTTACAGAACGGAAGATGATACGTCACATCCCCTTGAAGGAACCTGTCGGATTTATGTTGAGGGAGGGAGTGATAACCAAGGCTAGAGAGGCCCTGCCTCTAGCCAGGTAGAGCCATGGGGAAATGAGGTCTTTTGGACAGTATGGATCCGATGGCCTGGCACGAACTGGCGCTGCTACCAACAGGGCTGGAGCACGACTGCCCCACACCTCAGGGCCGAGCTGAGGAGTGACTGCACGGGTGGGAAGGGACCCTAGCTGGACAGGGCAGGGACCGACCCATGGACAGATCCAACGCCCTGGAGCAGGGCAAGGATTCCTGTCCCTGAGGGGGAAGCAGTGGCATGAACTGACCATAATTTCCATCACATCTCCCTTTTTTACATTCATTGTTACAAAGCAGAGTTGCAAGGGGAGCTCTGCTTTCAGCTTCAAATGAGGGAATCCAATGTGGGTTCTGGGACTTCTGTAACTTCAAAGTGTTACTTGATACTTGACACTTTAGTTTTGGCAATATGAGGCCCTTCAGCAGCAATGTCTCTTCCAGCCACTGGATTCTGTCTCAGACCCAGCTCACAACTGGGACAAGAAACACGAAGTCCCAACAGAAAAAGCTCTGCTGTCACTTTTTTTTTCATAGTTTTATTTCATTTAATTTCATTTTAGGTATCATATATAGTCTATATTTTTTTCTTCTTCTATAATCCCGTGTTTATTCTCTATTTCCCCCCGAACCCTTGTCCCCTCCCGGAGGTTTGTGGGGAGGTGCTGTCCCACAGCCCTTCCTGCCCTGGCACCCATGGCTGCTCCGGTGCCACCAGGGCCTGGCTGGAAAGGAAACCACAAAACCCTCTGGAAATAAAGCCAGTCTGAGGTAAAACCCTGCAGGGGGGGATTGAATCCCATGGAGAGCGCTGGCTGAGAGTTGGAGATTCCAAATGCTCCAAGGGGCCGGAGGGAACTGCGCTGGGGCCTCGGGGTCTCCCTGGGGACACCTCCAAGACTCCCGAGCAGAGCGACCCCTCCCAGCCCCCAAAATCTGCAGATTTGGGTCAGCTGAGGAAAAGAGCTGGAAAAGGGACTGGAAAGGGGGTGAAGTTTGAGAGGACCCCTCAGCCTTCACCCGGAGCAGCTGCAGGAAAATCCCCCAGAAACCAAGGAAATAAATGGAAATAGTGATGAAATTTTTAACCCTTTCTTCTGTTTCCAGGAGGTCCTGGTGAGGTCCTGCCAGGAGGACCTGGGGGCAGGGAGAGAGATCAGGGCTTATAATTGTGGAGAAGTTTAATTGGGGTGAGGACTGTGGGGAGAAAATGTGCATGGGAGGGGATGATTTGAATTGGGGAGAGAAAATGAAGTCGGGGAAGGAGACCCCCAGCCCTTGACTGTGTCCTGAAGGTGCTGCCAGCAGTTTCCCCACTCTGACCCCCTGGGCTGAAAACACACACAGGGGAGAGGACCATTCACTGCCCCAGCTGTGGGAAGAGCTATAAATGCAACTCCCACCTCGTCATGCACCTGCACATCTGCACTGGGTAGAGGCCGTAAGAGGGTCCTGAGTGTGGGAAAAGCTTCTCCTACAGCTCTGCCTTGGCCTCACACAAATGGACCCACAGATCCGGGAAGCCCTGCAAGTGCCCCGACTATGGGAAGGACTTTGTCCCCTGCTCCAGCTTTATCACCCATCAGAGTGACCCATGATGGACAGAGACCTGGTGACCCCCATTCTGAGTGATCCATGTTTTGATCCAGTGTATTGGGTTTGTGTGGCCAGGTTTTGGAAGTTAGGGGGGCTCGTTAAAGTAACACAAGAGAAATTATGTAAAGGAAAAGAAAACAAGCATCAGAGTAGAAAGATACACAGGCACCAGCCCTGGATCCCGCAACAAAAGTTTTGGTTTTGATTATTACAATGTCCCTTGTCCTTGGTCTAAGTGATGGTCCCAGGATGGATCCCTTGGGGGTTGGGAAAGCCCCAGGAACACCAAGTTCTGTGGGTCAGTATGGGTTCAGGTTTGGGTGAATGCCCAGGTATCTCCTCTGGCACGAGTTCTACACTGTCTGATGTCACACTGTGGATCCCAGGGCTCTGATGGTTTATGGCCCTTCTGAGATGTGGCCCTGCCTCTTCCAGCAGTGCAGCTGAGCCAGGTATGGCCCATGGGAAGGGATGAAAACCTCCAGCCCTCTGTGTGAATGTCCCGGGCCTTCCCCAGGGGAGTTCCCAGAGCTGAGCCAGTTGTGTCAGGGAGGGCATTGCCCTGGTCCAAAGCCCTGTCCTGTTGGAATGTTGGGGGACACAAGACAGATGATGGACTTTGGATTTGGTTAACAGAAGAGATTTGATAACAGGCTGCCTTGGGAAAAACAAATGGAACTTTGAAAATTAGACCTGGATTGCAAGAAGATTCAATCAAACGGGTTTACCGGAAAAAGAAAATCCCATTAAACTCTGCAAGCAAGAGATGTTTTTATATGCATAAGTTTGTGTATGTGATTTTAACCTAATCATTGTAGAACACATTACTAGTCTCCCTGAAATAGTATATAAGCGTTTGAATCCCACAATAAAATTGGATTCTGATCACTGAGTCAGTCTTCCCTGTCTCTCTCCATCACCAACACTGTCCTGCCTGGCAGCATCTGCTTCTGATCGGCCTCTTCCCTTCCCTGGCTCCCAGTCCAGCTCATCCCGTCCAGGGCTGGGTGTTCACCATCTCTGCCCCTGGGCACTTCCCATGGCCAGCAAAGCCCCCTCTGCTTTTGCCAATGGCTCGAGCCATTAACCTGGGACATTTCAGGCCCTCACAGCTCTGCTCCCCAAAAGCGCAGAGGGATGGGTGGTGCCTCAAAACGACTCCATCCCACTGAAAATGGCTCAACTCCACCTCCAAACAACTCAATCCCACCTCAAAATTTTGGGGTATCTCCTGAGCCCCAATTACTCCCAGTTGTGGATGTTCCTTGTCCACAAACTTCACCCAGTTGTTGCCATCGGGGAAATGACAGTGGGCTTTTCCCCAAAAATGGAACGCACCTGTGTGGGAAAGGAGACAGGTGAGGGGGTGCCTCCCCTCACCCCCCAACAGACCCCATCACCCTACAGCAGGCTGAGGGCTCAAGGGACCACCCTGGATCCCCCATTCCCACTCCCCTGTTCCCCACGGCCACCACAGCACTGGCTGCTGGGTGGGGACACCCCTACTGTCAGCCCCCCAGGGAGGGATGGGGGAGGTTGGGGACCCCCCCCAGCAAGGTTCTGCTTACACTCACCCCACCCCCCCTCCAGAACCCCAAGAACAGCTCAGGAGATCCAGTGATGGGGACAGGAAGGGACTCCCAGGGGAACTCCTTTGCCTCTGTCCCCCCTCCTCTTACCCCCCTCTCAAACACCTCTCCCATCTTCCCTGTGCTGCTCCCCCTCTCACCCAAGAGCTCCTCACCCACAGCCAGGGTGGGGTCCCAGCACCCAGTGTGGGATGACACACAGGGGACTCACAGGTGTCCCCATTCCTGATCCATCTCGGGGCCAATTCTGCCCCCTCCCATCACAGTACCCCTGTGGGTTCCCCCAAAATTCCTCCACATCCACACAGCTCCCCCTTAAATGGGATCAGGGTGAACTGGGAAGCTTTATTGGGAGCACTGGGAGCAGGCACTGGGCGGGGGCAGAGCGCCAGCGGGGCTGGGGGGGACACGGGACCCCCCCAAAATCAGCGGAGTGGGGACGGAGCAGGGGATCCCAGCCGGGCCCGAGCCCATGGGGAGGGGCTGCGGCCGCCGCCGGCTCAGGAGCTCTGTGGGCAGAGAAAAGGGGGTGACACCGGGCTGGGGGCCCCGGCAGGAGCGCACACGCTCCGGGGGAGGGGGGACACGACCACCGGCACCCTCCTCACCTTCTTGCACAGGTAGAAGCTGAGCCCCAGCACCAGGAAGACAAAGCCCAACACGGAGCCCCCAATCCCCATCAGCATCTTGCTGCGGGCGGTGTCCGGTGGTATCTCTGGGGAGTCCGCAGGGGTCAGGACCCCCCAAAACCTCTCACAGACACCCCAAGCCCCTCCAAGCACCTCATACCCCTCCAGCCCACCTCAGACCACAAGACCTCTTTCCTATCCCCCTCCAACCTCCCTAGTACCACCCAAGTCCCCTCCCCATCCCTCCAGGACCCCAAACCCCCTCCCAATTGACACCCATCTTCCAATGATCCCCCAAACCTTTTCCCAGTCCCATCAGGACTCACCAACGTCACTGCCAGTAGATTGAAGCACACTCAGCTCCCACCCCAGCCCCATTTTTACCTCCCCAACCTGCTTCCAGCCCCTCCAGCTCCATCAGACTCCCTTCCAGTTACATCCAGCACTACCAGGATGTTCCCTCTCAGAAGCCACCAGGAAACCCTTAACTGCATCCCAGTCTTCCCAGCATTCTCCAAACCTCTTCTCTGCCCTCCCAGGCCATCCAAACCCTTCTCCCAGTTACCCTCTGCCTCCCTCAAACTCCCTCCCAATTACTCCCAGCTACCACCAACTCCCCTCTCAGTCCCTCCAGTCTCACTCCCCCTCCCCCGGTGCTGTGGGGGCCGGGCCGTACCCCAGTGCCGGCTCAGGGGCTGCTCCAGGCTGACGTGCTCCACCTGGCAGCTGTAGGTGAGCCCGCGCTGGGGGGGGGTTTCCAGCAGCACCAGGAGCTGGTAGGTCCAGTCCCCATTGGGGACCACATCGGTGGCCAACACAGAGAGCTCCTGCTGGCCCTGGAACCACCTCACCTGGATGGCAGCAGGGTAGAAATCCATCACGGAGCAGAGCAGGCGGCCGGGGCCGGGCTGGGAGCTCGAGGGCACCAGGGAGATGGACACGCTGGGGGGCACTGGGAGAGAGCGGGGACACTCCGAGATAAAATGCGGGTGAAATGGGAGACACGGGGAAGGACTCAGGTAACACTGAGAGGGACTGGGGAGAGACTGGGAGGGGGTTGGAGAACGCTGGGAGGGCGCTGGGAGAGAGGATGGAAGTCTGAGAGTGGACCGAGAAGGACTGGGAATGGAATGGAATGGAATGAACTGAGAGGGACTGAGAATGAAGTTCCTGGCACTGAGAGCGATTTCTCTGGCATTGGGAGGGCCTGAGGCGGCACTTGGAGGAACTGGGAATGAAGAGCGCGGCACTGGGAGGCCGAGTCCAGCGCGGGGCACTCGGCGCTGAGGGTCTGCCTGGCAACTGATGAGTCATCAGAGAGACGCGCTCTGATTGGCTGGAGCAGCTCCACGAGCCGTCGAGATGGACACGCGGGGGGCACTGGGAGAAGCTGAGACGGACTGGGAGAGACTGGGATGGACTGGGAGAGATAGGGAGAGCTCCGGGACACTGCGGGTTGGGCAAGAGCCCACGGGAATGGGCACAGGAAGGGCTGCATGTCTGGGATTATTCCCAAGGAAGGTTTGAGGGGCTCCAGGGTCACTGCCAGGGCAGGGGCCGAGGGGGGACACGCTCTGCCCCGCGCTCACCTCGGCGCTCCACGAGGAACGGGGTGGACAACTCGTAGTTGTGTCGGCAGTGCCTGTCCACCGCACCCCGTCTGTGCTCCATCCATTCGGGGTCGCTGTTCCAGTGCCTGGCAACCTCCTCCCCATATGGGGTGTCCCCCACAAAGTGCCCCACATCGCTGTCGAAGTGCACGTACTGCTCCCGGTTGTAGATGAATCTCTTCACGAATCTCACCCGCTCGGTGCCGTTAATGAAGTGACATTCGGACTGAACCATCTCCTGGAACAGCCCTGTGTGTGCAGGACACAGGTCAGAGGGTGCCCCTTCAGCAGCCCCCGGCACCCCACAGCAAACCAAGATCTCAGAGGCAACCCCGGATCCACACTGTGCAACCCGTATGCCCCACGTGCCACCCCTTGTAGGCCCTTTCTTCCCGCGGCCCCTCTTCGTCTTTTCCATTCTTCTCCGTATTTTCCTCCCCCTTTTCCATAACTCCTCGGTCGCCAGCACCACCCCCCACATCAATTCGAGGGTCCCACCTCCCCCTTTTCCCTCCACGCCCCACCGTTCCCACCCTCCCAACACTTCCCTTCCCCCTCCCCCGCTCACCCGAGAGCTCCGCGCCCGCAGCCGGGGGGGCTCCCAGCACCCCCAGTGCCACCAGCAGGGCCCCAGCTGCCGCCCCTCGCCCCATGGCCGGGGCCGGGCAGGCTCTGACACTTCCCCCCTACCCAAATTCCCCTGGCGGTAGAGTCTGGAGGCGAGGGCGGAGCACGGGTGGAGTCCAGGTGAGGAGCTCTGGGCGCTGTGGGACCGCCTGGCAACTGGGGAGTCATCAGCGCCGCGCACTCTGATTAGCTCTCTAAATGACTGAGGAGAGGCCCAGGAGCTGGAAGAAAAATCGGGAGAGATCCCGCTCCGAGAACCGGCACAGGCGCAACAGACCCAGCCTGGGCACAGGGAGTAAATTTATTATCAACCAAATCACAGAAGGACAAGGAGAAGAGAAAGAAATCTTTCCAACACCTTCCCCACACCCAACGGGGATCACCAGGACCACGGATCACCAGGGCTCTGCACAGCGGGGGTCACTCGGGGATCCCACACTTGGGGCACTCGCAGGGCCTCTCCCCAGTGTGGATGCACTGGCGGGTGACGAGCTTGGAGCTCGGGCTGAAGCCCTTCCCACACTCCCCACACCCGCAGCGCCATTGCCCGGTGTGGATCTTGCTGACCTTGATGCGGTGGGAGTTCTTACTGGAAGCTCTGCCTGAATTCCAAGAACTTGTAGGGCCATTCCCTGAGGTGAATCCTATGATGGGTAATCAGGTCAGATTTCCATGTGAAGCTCTTCCCACATTCCAAGGCCCAGCAGGGATGTTCCTTGGTTTGGATCTCCTGGTGCCAGATCAGGTGGGAGCTCTGGCTGTAGCTCATTCCACATTGCAAGCACTTGTAGGGTGTCTCAGCTTGAGAGACGATTTAAAAGAGGACACTCTGGAGTGAGTGTTGTCCCCTCTACAGGGTTCCAATTATCCCTTTCCACCAACAGGATATGAATGCTAATAAGTGAAATTTAAAAAAAAAACCAAAAAAACACAAACAGATAAAAAAAAAAACAACCAAAAAAACAAACAAAAAAAACCAAACAAAAACTCCATCAGTTTATTAACAAACAGAATGCCCACAAGGCAAGAATATTAATTTTTAAAAGTAAACAACTGCTAGATATTAAATTGTCAGCCCTTAGTCCCCCCACACACTCTGGGACAAAAGACCCAAAATGCCAGAGAAATCACCGCTCGCGACACGGGGTACAGGCGGCACCGGCTTCTCCCGCAGGGGAAAAGCCGACCAGGGGCCGTCCCGAAGGAGATGAAAGCCCGGGGCTCGCCCGGCGTTGGACTCCTCCCCAGCCGGGCTCCGCGGGCACGGTCCCGGCAGCTGAAGCAGCGGCGCTGCAGCCTCGGGCTGTTTTCTCTCCCGGCTCGGCCCGGCTCGCAGCGGCTTTGGGCGGCAGCGGCGCCGCTCCGCTCCTGCCCTCGCGGAGCCCCCGGGCTGCGGCACAGCCGCTGCTCAGTTCCTCCAGGCACTCCGAGGCTCGCGCTGCAGCCTCTCCCAACCAAGGAAGGGAAAATCCTTTCTTTGCCTGGCCCAAAAAAGCTTTTCAGCCACACAGAAAACCACGGGGCACAGAGAGAGCCGCGGAAAACTCGAGCAGCTAGATGCCAGCGCAGCCGTTGGGGATTGTTTTTTTTTTTTTTCTTTTCTTTCCTTGTTACTTGTGGAATTTTTTCCCATTGAGTTGCTAAGAAGCACTAATGGCTATGTGCTTAAGATAGTGGGAGGGGGAACTCCTCCAGTTCTTTTGGGAGTTTCTCTGGGGGTGGGGGGTGAACGACAGAGATAGAAGCAGGAGAAAAGATTGGGTAGTTGGGGACGCTCTCTCTCTCCTGGGCTTCGGAGGAGGACAGTCACACCTGACGCTTGTAGAAAGGAATTTGCTGCCACCACCACAACCCAGCAGGGAACCTTTCTTCTGCTGCTGGGCGCCACATCCCCCTGCCCTGCCAGGACACCCCGCAGGTTCCAGCTATTGCCGTCTGGTTAATGGGATGTATTTCAAAGTGACAAATGCTTTACTTTATATCTAAACAAATATCTTTATCATCACTTACATTGCCTTCACATATACACCCCAGTTGTCCCCTCATTGAGCAAGGTTCTAAGTTAATAGTTCACCACCTTCCTTCAACCTTTAGTGCCCGCATTCTGTGTTCAAAAGGATATAGCACGGTCCCCTCATGATTTAGCCCTAAAGGTACAATTGGATATATCAAGCTCACTGATGCATCATATATGGTTAAAACAAAAACTGTTACCATATTTGTCATGGAATCATAAGTAAAACTAACTAAAACCCACAGGATTGAAGTTCCTTTTTCTAAATCTGAGGCATTATCCCAAACAACTTTACAAATTTTGGCAAGGAATATGCCTTCTCCCCGTCCCTAATGACTGAGGCCACCACTGATTGCATCCACAATTGTGCCTGTGTACACCCAAGGGCCAAAGAAAAGTTCTCGCTAGGTGTGCCTAAGGTATTAATTATCAGTTGATTATCTCGTTCATCCACATTTTCCCATTCTGGTAACATTTTGGACAATTTCCACTGGCTGGTACCTAATGCCAACAAGGAGGATTGTAAGAGTTGTAATTTAACCATATCACTGCCAAGTTCTATCAATTTGTTCATTAATACTTCTGAGTCCATTGTATTTAGAACCCCTAGTCCTGTTCTCAATAATCCAGTAAGGTCTTTCTTCTGTCTGCACATATAAGGCTTACGCTTCTGCAGCCAGGTAGTCCAGTCCATAAAAGAGGTCCTTAAAAATGGAGCACACTCAGACTGAATGGCAGAGGCATCTACCTGCATTGCCATCTCTACCTGTTTCAATGACCACTTTGGATTAATTAGCAATTTTTGAATTCCAGTCTTCTTAACAGCATATGTTCCAATTTTGGTAATTATGGGAAAACCATGGGTTCTAAAGTGATTTGAGTAGCCATGGTTTCTCTCAGTATTGGCACTGGTTGAGTTATTTTAACCTTATCCATTTGGGAAACAGTACAAAATTGAGTTAAATTATAATCAATCTTAAAATCCTTGATTGCACAGCCTTCTATTTTGAGTCTAAACTCTAGACAATTGGCTAAGCATTTGTCACAGCATTCATCACAGCATTCAGGAACAATTAGAATAAGTTTCATGGGTTTTTGATAAAATTTATGAAACCCATCCCAGACAAACACATATACACATCCCCAAATATCTTTCCCTTCCCACACAGATGCATTTGTCACTCTTAGCATCTGATCCAGAGACTTACAGGGGTTGGAGTCATAGGTTTTCCCTTGGCACTTACATATACCAGTCACATTATATACCAGCAGTGCTGCATTAGCTGTGGCTATAGTGGTAATCACAAATGCCACAACTCACCAGGCTACACCTATTTGATTATCCATTACAACTAGAAACTTTTCTATTCTTCTATGCTTCTATGCTTCCATTTCACCCACACCCTATTTATTTTCCCAAAAAAGTTTTAATTTCGGTTTGTTGTCACTTGGTACAGCTTTCCAGAGTCCCTCAGGAGCCTTCTTCACTCAGGAATGATGGATCCAGGCACTTTGTTCCTTAATCTTGATTGCAGTAAAAGTTGTGAGGAGCACTTGGAATGGTCCCTCCTACTGTGGTTCCAGAGTCTTTTCTGCAAAAGACTTAACATATACATAATCCCCAGGCTGTACATAATGTACGGGTCCATCTAATTCTCTGCTTCAAGCCCCATCCACATGTTTCTCAATTTCTCTAAGTTGTTTGTTTAGGGCCATCACATATCTGTGTAGGGTTTCTTCCCCTACTTGAGTGGGTGCTGTACCTTCTTGATATCCATATGGCCTTCCATGCAGTATTTCAAAGGGACTCAGTTTTTCCTTTACTCTTGGTTTGGTCTGGATTTGTAATAATGCTAATGGAAGACCCTGAGGCCAAGGCAACTTCACCTCTTGTCCCAGTCTTATTATTTGCTGCTTAATCAAATGATTCATTTTCTCCACTTGACCACTTGACTGAGGATGATACGGAGTATGAAGTTCCTAATATGCTTAAATGGAGGCTAATTTGCTGCACAGTTTTTGAAATAAAATGTGGCCCCCTATCTGAAGACATGGTGGCTGGGACTCCAAAACACGGTATTATTTCTTGTGACAATGCTTTGGTTACCTCCCCTGCTTTGGCAGTTCTAGTAGGGAAAGCTTCTGGCCACCCTGAAAAGGTATCTGTTAACACCAACAGGTATCAGTATCCCCCTCTCCTGGGTAGTTCTGAAAAATCAATTTGCCATTGTTGCCCAGGTCCATATCATTTTCCAATTTGCCCAAGCTTTGGTTTAGGAATATTTTTGGGATTAATTTGGTGGCAAAGGCTACATTGGTGAGTCACCTGAATCACTGCACTTTGCAAGTTTCTGGCGAGGATTCTGTCTTTCAAGTAATTATACAAAGCATCTATCCCCCAATGTTTTTTCTCATGTTCCTCTTTCACTAATGACCACAGCATATAAGAGAGGATCACAAGCCTTCCTTTCCCTTCATCTGTAATAGTTCACCCCTCTTGATTATAACTTCAGTTTTCTTTCTCAATAAGCCTCTTGTCCTTTTTACTGTACCTTGGCTTACATTCGATAGAAATTTATCCATCTGGGATTGAGGCTGCCTCAACTCTCTCAGCAATTACCTTACCTTTAGCTGGTTCTTTTGCCTCTCTGTCTGCCAGCTCATTTCCTTCCTCCAATTCAGAGCTCACTTTTTTGTGTGCCTTGATGTGCATGATGGTTACCTTTTCAGGTTGCTGGACTGCCTCCAACAGTTTTATTATCTCTTATGCACGTTTAATGCTTTTTCCTTGTGAGTTCAGCAGTCCTTTTTCCTTCCTTGTGCTCCATGCCCAAGGATTACCCCAAATGCATACCTTGAGTCTGTGTAAATATTGATTTTCTCTCCTTTTGCCAGCTCTAAAGCCTGGGTTAAGGCAATTACTCCATCCTCCTGTGCCAAGGTGTTGGTTGGTAATGATCCAGACTCTATTACCTCTCAGCTTGTGGTAACTGCATACCCAGCATGCCTTTTTCCACTGATGACGCAGCTGCTTCCATCAGTGAACCAGGTCTCAGTGTCCTCGAGAGGGGTGTCCTTCAGATCCGGGTCTCTGGAGTAGGTAGCTTTGATAGTCCCCAGGCAGTCATGGATCACCATTTCTCCCATGCTATCA